AAAAAAAAAAAAAGATCCCAAGCGACTGGAAGTGGCTTTCTTGTGCACATCATGTACCTCGACACTTTGCATTCTTATCTGTGATCAGATTCTCATCCTTCAGACGGTTAGTGGCTGCCCTAGAAGTGGGTAGGATGTATTTATAAAAGCTAAAATGTCATGTCTGAGAAGTCTATGTCCTTTTCCTACACAGAAGCTGGGTTGCAATTTGTTTTGTTTTCTGAAATGGTAGTTTGGGTCACCTGAACACAGAAAATAGAATTTTTCATCGACATATTTCATCTATTAAACATCCATCTAAACATGCTAATGTATTTTGAAGGGGCACATACACATAATTAGACACAATGAGCAAAGCTAGTGTTGTAAAAAAAAAAAAACTAAGTACGAGCATGAGTATGTTCTCAGTTAAACAAAGATTCATATAGGAACTCAAAAGACAAAAGATCCTTTTCCCTAGCGATGACCCCTGTCATTAGTCACAGCAGTGCGCTGTGTGTCCTTCCCAGCTTCTTCTATAAAGGACAAGCAGAAAGGGAAATGGACTTTGGTTGACAACGGACTCATCCATTGCACTGAGCGGCATAGAATCTGCTCTATACCCACAAAGGGACAACCTCAGAGAACAAGTTGAAGGTGGCCGTCACACCAGGTCACTGGTTCTGATGATACCTTTAATGACCTAAAGTACAATATAATTGTTAGTAACAGAAAACTAGACAGAGAAATAGGATTTATCTAACTATGAAACTGGACATGACCCATTGATTACTAAGGCTGATGACTAAGAAATTGTTACCTAGTAAGAAGGACTTTTTGGTGCTAGAGACATGGCTCACTTTATCAAAACAATGACATTTTATTGGGTTCCTTCAATAGCAAAAATTACAGTTAAAAAAGCACACAAATGTCTCCTAGTATTTTAAGTTTAACAACTCTGAATTATAGAGCCATCATTTACTCAGCTTAATTTGGGGATCATCAGTTTAGTCTTCTTATTTTTTTTCTTTTAATTAATTTTTTTTTTTGGCAGTTTTTGGCCGGGGCTGGGTTTGAACCCGCCACCTCTGACATATGGGGCTGGTATCCTACTCCTTTGAGCCACAGGCACCACCCCAGTTTAGTCTTCTAGACTGCACTGTGTTATTAGGAATATTAGAAACCTTATCCAATAAAGCAGCTACTAGATACATATAGCTCTTTATTTATTTATTTTTTGACAAAGAGTCTCAAGCTGTTGCCCTGGGTAGATTGCCATGGTGTCACAGCTCACAGCAACCTCAAACTCTTGAGCTTAAGCGATTCTCTTGTCTTAGTCTCCCAAGTAGCTGGGATGGCAGGTGCCTGCCCGGCCATCTTTTATTGTTGTTGTAGCAGGCCCAGGCCAGGTTCGAACCCACCAACCTTGATATATGTGGCTGGTGCCCTACCCACTGAACTATGGGGTAGGGCACTGGCCACGTGCTAGCTCTACCCACGTGTAGCTCTTCAAATTTTTTTTTTTTTTTGAGACAGAGTCCTCAAACCAGCAACCTCAAACCCTTGGGCTTGAGCAATCCTCTTGCCTCAGCCTTCCAAGTAGCTGAGAATATAAGCGCCCATCATTACACTCCATTAGTTTTTCTATTTTTAGTAGAGATGGGGGGTCTCATTCCTGCTCAGGCTGGCCTCAAATTCCTGAGCTCAAGTAATCCACCTGCCTTACCCTCCCAGACTGCTAAGATTACAGGTGTGTGGCTTGGCGCCTGTGGCTCAAGTGGCTAAGGCCCTAGCCACATACACCTGAGCTGGTGGGTTCGAATCTAGCCCAGGGCCACCAAACAACAATGATGGCTGCAAAAAAAAAATAGCCGGGCATTGTAGCGGGCACCTGTAGTCCCAGCTACTTGGGAAGCTGAGGCAGGAGA